AAGGTAAAAAATACAAGTATATATACAATGTCCTTCATTCATTAAAGCACCTTTTGATAACAACCTTCAAACGTTTCATATTAATTGACGCTCCTTTAAAAAAAAATTCCAAATTATCTTGAAAAATTATATAGACTGTACTAGCAAAACACAAAGGAAATTTCTAAGTTTTTCATTCCCAAACATTTTAAAGTGAGCTGGAAATCATCACGTCGATGTAATCACAACAAAGCGAAAAAAAACAAAAAAGTAAAAAAGAAATGAAAATAAATCAGTCAATCACTCAAATAAACTAGAAGCCTCAGCTACTTAAAATGGCTACTGCATTTACTCTGAACACTACAATTTTGAACTTCAATTTCTTTTGACGTCCAAAAGAACATTCCAATAACTGCTTCTTATATTAAATGACTCCAAAATTGTGGCTCACAAGTGTTCTACTTCGAGCTCATATGCAGAAACACCCAAATTACAAACACGTATCTATTTCGGTCTAGCACTCTTACGTTCACCAAATAACTACAAAAGTTTTAAGTCAAAGCAAGCGCTTTGGCACAAACCGCTGAAAACTCTTGAACTCCTGCAGCAGCGAGAAACAAAAGTATCTTTTACAAGTTGACAAAAATCAAAAAATCTTAACAAACCTAGACTTCCTGCAAAGACTAATGCCTCAAAACAATTTTGGACAAATTAGTCCTACCGAGTAAATAAAGCCACCCAGCCGACAAAAGGCCCAACACCCCATCCAAATGCTATACCCAACAAGTCAATAAAGGTTAACTGTTAAACCTCCCCTAACTTATAATCCCTAACTCAAAACTGCTAGCAATAACTTGTCCCATCTACCTTCCACCCAATAATCAGCCAATCCAAGAACCGAGGAAAACCTAAATGCTATAAAAGCTGAATTACACTAACAAAATGAAAAACAATCTTTGCGTATGAGGACATCCTACAAATTATTCCTTTAGAATTTCGTCCTACAAATCAAAATAGAGAACTCTTAGAACATCACTTCTATGCCATAGCGAACCATTACCAGGAGCAGCATATCAAATAATTTA